CCTTCACCTCCGGCGACCGTTTTGAGCGTGTGTCAGCCCCCAGGCGTTGCTGCGCGGCACGCAGCCTGCTGCTGCTGTTTTCTGCTGACGTCCCCCAGGGTGACGCGCTTGTTCTGCTCTTCGGGTCAGGTGTGACAGGAGCTCGGGTGCGGGCACGCTGGGGCGGGGGGGAAGGATGTCCCTTGTCACACCAGAAACACAGCGTCTCGAGGTGGGATGACCTACCTCGGTCCTTAAATCTGAGGACGCAAATCCCAAGCTGTTTATTCCGCTGCCAACTGGGATACGCTGCAGTCGTGACCACGACAGGGCCTCAGGCCTGCTGCGATCCAGGAAACTCTCCTGTCCCTTTCTCGAAGCGGACGTGTTTCCACTGGGTGAAACCGGTCCTCGACGTTTATCTGTGTGGCGTCTAGCTTCCCAGCCTCCACATCTGACGTGGCGAAAAATCAGCTCTCAACCATGTCTCTCTTGCTGTATAGCCGTTTATGTTAAACTGCTCCGAAGGGAAGAATGACCGGAGGTTGAGATTCCAGTTGAATTATTGAGTACATCATCCTGGTTAGCTGTCCGCTGTGTCTATACACGCTGTATGCAGCCATACTTCAGATGAGAGGAGTTTTTATTCAAATGGTTAGGAAAAAAGAAATTTTTTTTTTTGAAGGGAGAGGAAAGCTTTTTCCTAGCACTGCCTCTGTCAATGAGTGGAAGGTTCTGTAACTTCAGGTAATAATTAAAGCTAATGGAAAAAGTAGTTCAGGTAAAGGAGTGCATGACTGAACAACTTCCATGTGGACCTACTGTCCTTTGTTTGATAACTGTTAAATAATCAAATTGTATCATATTTTAAAATAAGCTTGATCCTCTTTAGGATGAGGCGTATTGCCCAAATAACAATAATAATTATTACTAATTTTAAATTGGAACACTAGTTTTCCCTTTTTTTTTTTTTTTTTATGTGTACGTTGCTATAGGAAGCTTTGGTCTGTAGCTCCAGTCAAAAAGATAAGCTTTTTGCTGTCTGCTTAAACTCCCTATGAGGATGCTTACCGCTTAGAGGAAAACTTATTTGAAAGCACTGTAAAATTGAAGGTTTGGCAGCTTAGAAGAGAATGCTAGTTCAGCAGATTTGCCCTAAAGCTTTAAGAGTTCAGATGCAAAGGAATGGAAAGTAATCTTCAGTGGGTGTAGTCAGCCATTTGAATGGAGATCCTAAATCTGACATACTGTGAAAAGTTTCGATTTCAGTATGCTGCTCAAACTTTTATATTAGCTTTTGTGTAAAATGGGAGAACAGGATAAAGGAAGAAGAGGATGAAAAAAGAAAAATACTTCTCCCCCACCAGGCTTCCCCCTCAGATCTTGCAGAATAACCTGATGATTAGCCTTCTTCTGTAAAGGCTCCCTTAAATGATTTGCATATAGGCACATAATGAATTACTAGTAGAACCAGGGATATCACCAGCAAATCTTAACTCCCTGTCTGCTGCTGCAGTCGTACTAGATAGAGTTTATCCCAAAGTCTAATAACTTTTGAACAAGAATTTAACTCCTATTTTAGTAGTGGGCCAATAAATAAAAGTCAATTTGATTTCCTAACTTTATCCTTTCTTCTGCAACCGGAACAGAGCAGAAAAAATTGCTTAGCTCAGGAGGGACTGAAATCTATATTTGAGCTTTTGCTTTAATGCGTATCCTGTCGTCCAGGTGGTGAAGCTGAAACACTGCTGTATCCAGTACTCTTTGTTTGGTATAGGATCTGCTGGAGAAAGTGTTGGGGCTGCTAGGGCAAAATGATGGTTCTTTGCACACGATTGGAGAGGGTTAGGGAAAGGGGTTGGTTGGTTGTTTTTATGAAGCGGACTTCTGGAAATAGTTTAATGTAGCAGTCCTGCAATTCTTCTGTCAAATAGAATTTAGTTTCCAGGGGAACTGAAAATAAATTCCCATTGCATGCACTGAATTTTGCTGTCCCACCCTCTGCTGTGTTTTACTAAGGGCTCAGAGTCTCTCTAGAGTTCTTAGAATATTCCCGTGTCAATTATTTAAATTATGAGATACAGTTAGCGTGCCATGTCCCACCCTCATAGTTCTTGAGTCTGTTTGCATAAAAAGAAAGGTGAATTTTATATGTGGTACTCAATTACACAAATGAGCATTGCTGAGAGGTCAGTGCAGAATGACTGACATGCTACGCAGAACATCTATAAATGGCATAGGGAGCTAAATCTTTATCCTGCGTAAAGGTGGAGAGAAGGAGCTGTACACACGAAATGGAACTGAACTCAGCTGAACTGAGAGCAGATTTTTTTTTTTTTTGGATAAAGAGAAGGAAAAACAGTGAGCTATCTACCTTAGTAAAGCCAGGCATTGAAAGAATTCATTTCCCTGATTTTAATCAAAAAAATTGATTAAAGGAATCAGGGGGGAGGGAAGCAGGTGGGGAAACTCCCTTGTTAAAGGGTGGAAAATGTTCAGCTATTTTTTTATTTACTTTATCCTTTCTTCGTCTTTCTCTCTGTTGTTCCCTTTCGCAAGTCACCATGTGGCAGAGCCGGAAGAAGGGGCACGTAATAAGCAGGCTGAAGTTTTGCTGTTGGCTGGAGTGGCTGCAGGATCAGTTCTGAAGTTATGAGACTTAGGGATAAATCGGAGCCATTGTAGCCAATGTCACAGGATTTGGAAGTTTGTAAAGCACAAGTTAAAGCCCTGCCGTTAAGGTGACTTTCTTGTAAAATTTGCACGCTATGCGCTTTGAAATCTGTTCTTCCTTTCTTTTTTGCAAGAAGAATAGTCTTAACTACTGAAACCGTGATTCCATCTTGTAATTTTAAACAAAGATTGGAAAGAACCAGAAGTGAAACATACGTACATTTTCTCACAAATAGGTAACTGCGTTACCATGGTAACTTGAGGATTTCTAATTCCAAACACACCCTGTCTGTAGATACAAATTGGACAGTGGTGCTGGAAGCAGTGATGCAAAGAGGTATCTTGTATTCTTGCCGCTTTGGTTCTTTTGCTTATGGTGAAATTCATATATATAATGCCTGTTTTTAAATTCTCCACATTTATGTTCATCCTTTTAAAAACACATTTTGTGAAAAAAAACACCATCAGTTTGCCTTTCTGTTGCGTGAAAAATACTGCACAGCACCAGGGAAAAAGAGTTGTCATTGTACCGAAATACATGAATACCTGTTAAAAATTATACGTGAACTTAATTTAAACTCATGAAATTCATTCCTGGCTATATTTTTAAATTTATTTTAAATTTATTTTTTTCTATTTGTTTTTAGTAAATGTTGATTGCTGAAGCTGTGGTATATTTATCATGCTTCTAGGACTACTTCTGTTAAACCAGTCATGTGCTTTATAATAGAGTGGAAAAGCTTTCCTTGGGACTATAGTTGCACATACCTCGTAACCAGATTCTGGGTGATGTATTGATCATATTTCTTTAAACAAATTTAGGGAAACTTGCATGAGTATCCCAACATAATGAGTTCAGTCCTGCATTGAATGATGGTAGTGAATTATTTGGGTTATTCCTTCTAAAACAGACTGGCAGAGCAAGGGGGGATCTGCTGCGGAGTAAACCTAGAAGCCCACAGTGATTGACATGGGCCCTCCTCTTTTCTAATGTTTCCAATGGTGCTGAAGTGCAAGATCGTTCTTGGGGTGATTTATTTAGAGCCCTGCATGGTTGGGATCTTGCCAGGCTTTCAGTTTGTGCTTCCAGTGAATTCTCCTTCCTTTCCTACTCTTGTCCCTTGCATTCTGACTTTCTTACCAGAGTAAATGGAATAAACATGAAAGCTTTTTTTTTTTTTTAATTTTCTGGATTGTATTAAGAGTTGGTCCTTAGTCTCTGACATCATGCTCTTCCCACTGTCCCCGTGTTTGCCAGAGTTAAACTGCAGTAGATTGACTGTGCAGATAATTTCATGAATTTATATGATTTTGTATAGCTAACTAATGCAGTGAGTGCTATAGTTGGGAACTAATACTAAAGAAATATTACAGTCCTAAATTTGGGATGAGGGTTTAATGTGAGGTTTAGGAAGGAGCCTTTGTAATATCTCAAATCTCACATACCAGCATTTTAGATGGAGGTAAAGTTTTACTTTATTGAATCCCATATCTCTATTATTTCTTTCTTCAAAAGCTTCCACAAAGCTTTACAAATTATCTTTGTTAACAAAGCATTGCATTCATGAACTTGTGAAAGGAAAATTTTTAGAAAGTTTGTCATTTGATGAACTGCGTTTCAAGGTCAGTGTTGGCTAACAAAGATGAAGTTTGAGATGTGCAGTCACTTTCTGTTTTTAAATTAAATGTGCTCACTATCAAGTTATGGTGAGATTGCTGTGGTAGTAATTTCAGATGCTAAGGCGTATTCAAAATGGGATTGCGTCATCTTTTCTGTGGTATGTAGCAAAGCAAGTTAGTCTGCTTGCTTTAATTATTTTTATTATAATAGAACCTAGTGGTCCTAAATAAATTTACAACCTTGTTATGGTGGAGGCTGTAAACCTGGATAGAGAAGGTTTTGGCTTCATTCTTAAAAAGGTGTGAAATGTATGCTGTAGGAGCGTGAGATGGATTGGGAGCAAATCCTTCATGTTCTTTGATGCCTGTTTCAAATGCACAGTGGCCTGCTTACTTGTATAGGGGGAACAGGGAGGCTAGATGAGTATTGTGAGAAGACCTAAAGGCGCAGAGAGAAAGGAGTTTGCCCCACACCACCTCTAGATGTGTGATGGATGTGGAGGTGGGACTCGATATCCAATTCCTGGTCTATTGTCCTCTCTCTTCGACCATCATATGCGGTCTGTTAATCTGCTAGGGCTTGTGCTCTCCGATGACGAATGCTATGAGCTTGAAAGATGGTCTTGCTAGCGGCATAAAAATTTGGTAAAATTGGTTGATGTACATACTAGTGAAGCTTTATAGTTCTACAGTCACATTCCTTTTCTTTGTTTTCCTATCCTGCGGCTATGGATACAGCCTGCATCAGCAGCATGGGTGAGTGACTTGGCGTGGATCCGACAGATTCCTGACCAAGTTCTTCACTACAGTCAGGCAACTCTCCTTGAATTTGCTGACAAGTCCTGTCATGCTTACGTTTAAGGGAAGGATACCTGATTGTGGTATTAGGGCTTAACTGACTAGACAGAAGTCTGGAAAATTAGTAAATATATTTCACAGCCAGAGGGAACAAAAATGATCACTTTCCACCCCCCCTATCTGTTGTTATGGCAATGCCAGTTGCTGCTTGTAACAACAGAAAGCTGGAGAAAGATGGAAACGAAGTAGCTGCTTGTAATTGAGTACATTTTTGCATTTCCTGTGGATGGAGATGTAGAGGTTTCTGTGCCTTTTGGAAGATGTGTGTTGTCCAGAGTCTATGATAAATAGCTTTAGAAACAATTTCACTTGTATTTCCTTGTGCTCAAGCATGATTGGTGGTATGACTCTTTCC